ACCCTGCTTCAAAAAAAAACTGTCAATAAATTTATGTTTCAAAGCACTTTGAAGGTCAAACAGACTCTCTGTTTTAAGGGCAGTGGATAGGGTAGGGTTACTGACAAAGGATATGGAACTGGAATGGTCAGAGAGATACCAGAGGGACTTAATGTCTTAGAAACTAAGGGGAACAGGGGCAGGGTAGTCAAAAAGGAGAAAGTGATTTGCCGGTACACATTAGGTATTAAATGAAGAGCAGAAATTGATGCTAAGCTAAAGACTGGGGGTCTTTGTCCTTAGGATCTATCACTGGGGAAATCATTGGCAAACTCAGAGTGGGGGAGGAGTTTCAGAGGAGTGGTGAGACAGAAGCAAGATGCCAGTAGGTAGAAAAATTGACTGGCAAGGGAAGAAAATGGGGACAGCAAGTATAGACTTCCTTCTTAATAAAAAGAACTTAGACTTTCAGCCGGAACTGCCATCTTCCAGTAATTCACCAAAATGACGAACACAAAGGGAAAGAGGAGAGGCACCTGATATATGTTCTCTAGGCCTTTTGGAAAACATGGAGTTGTTCCTTTGGCCATGTATATGCGAATCTATAAGAAAGGTGATAATGTAGACATCAAGGGAATGGGTGCTGTCCAAAAAGGAATGCCCCACAAGTGTTACCATGGCTAAACTGGAGAGTCTACAGTGTGACCTGGCATGCTGTTGGCATTGTTGTAAACAAACAAGTTAAGGGCAAGATTCTTGCCAAGAGAATTAATGTGTGTATTGAGCACATAAAGCACTCTAAGAGCCAAGATAGCTTCCTGAAACACGTGAAGGAAAATGATCAGAAAAAGAAAGAAGCCAAAGAGAAAGGTACCTTGGTTCAACTGAAGCCTGCTCCACCCAGAGAAGCACACTTTGTGAGAACCAATGGGAAGGAGCCTGAGCTGCTGGAACCTACTCCCTGTGAATTCATGGCATAATAGGTGTTAACAAAATAAATAAATAAAAGACCTCTGGACTGTAATTTATAAATAAATAAGAACTTAGAACACAGGATCAAGTTAAGGTTTGGGGGCATGGAGGTTGTTTTCTTTTAAGGGTATGAGAGACCAGACTTGAGCATGTTTCCAAGCTGAGGAGAAGTAGTCACTAGAGAGAGAAAACTAGGAGTTGAGGGAATGGGACCAAAGACATAGGTGACAGCTGAATGCATCATTCTCTCAGATTGAAGGAGATAAGTCTGCAGGTGAGAGAAAGTAATTGAGAGAAATCACACTAGCTAGCCTCCATTTTCTTGGTAGTGTAGAAGGTCAAGTTAACTGTGGAAAGTTGAAGGAAATAGGAGTTGCAATGGGACTTTGGGAGAGTAGAGAGGGTTTGAAATAACAGTGGAAAAGAATAGGAGAGGGAGCTGTCCAGAGGTGTTAAGTGCCCCGCTGAGTCAAGTCAGTGTGGTTGCTGTCATCTCTGATATCCTTGCACTGAGACCGTGAATGTGCTGTGGCATCCAGAGGCATGGTTTCTTACCTCCTTAAGTGTTCAGCTGCTTTTCTTTCATTGATTCCAATGTAGAATTACTATAATTACTAAACATTTATTTAGTGTCAGGTAATGTGCTAAACAGCAGAGAGTTACTGCTCAGACAGATAATAATAATAAATAACACATCAAATAGCCATATCATTTTAAGCTGTAGTATTATGAAGGGAAATCAGGAGCAAAGAGAATAGACTGTAGGGAAACCAGTTGAGAAATAGGACATGGAGGCCAAGCGTGGTGGCTCACTCCTGTAATCGCAGCACTTTGGGAGGCCGAGGCGGGCAGATCACGAGGTCAGGAGATTGAGACCATCCCGGCTAACACAGTGAAACCCCGTCTCTACTAAAAATACAAAAAGTTATCCGGGCCTGGTGGCAGGTGCCTGTAGTCCCAGCTACTTGGGAGGCTGAGGCAGGAGATGATGTGAACCTGGAAGGCGGAGGTTGCAGTGAGCTGACATCACGCCACTGCACTCCAGCCTGGGTGACAGAGCGAGACTCTGTCTCAAAAAAAAAAAAGAAAGAAAGAAATAGGACATGTGGACCAGGCGCGCTGGCTCATGCCTGTAATCCCAGCACTTTGGGAGGCCGAGGCAGGTGGATCACGAGGTCAGGAGATTGAGACCATCCTGGCCAACATGGTGAAACCCTGTCTCTGCTAAAAATACAAAAAGTTAGCCGGGTGTGGTGGTGGGCGCCTGTAGTCCCAGCTGCTTGGGAGGCTGAGGCAGGAGAATGGCGTGAACCCAAGAGGCGGAGCTTGCAGTGAGCCGAGATCGCACCACTGCACTCCAGCCTGGGTGATAGAGCGAGACTCCGTCTCAAAAAAAAAAAAAAGAAAGAAATAGGACATGGGACTAGGTTGGTTAGGGAAGAAAAAGCCAAAAGGAGGTTGATAGCCTAAAAAAAAACTGAGGAATCACTGGGCGTGGTGGCTCACGTCTGTAATCCCAGCACTTTGGGAGGCCGAGGCTGGTTGATTACCTGAGGTCAGGAGTTCAAGACCAACCTGGGCAACATGGCGAAACCCCGTCTCTACTAAAAATACAAAAATTAGCTGGGTGCAGTGGCACGTTCCTGTAATCCCAGCTACTCTGGAGGCTGAGGCAGGGGAATTGCTTGAGCCCAGGAGGCAAAGGTTGCAGTGAGCTGAGATTGCACCGTTACTGGGCAACAGAGCGACACTCTGTCTCAAAAAACAAAAAAAAAAGAAAAAATTGAGGAATCAGGGTTCTAGGAGTCTCCCTCAGCTTGAAGAGGGAGTGAACACTTGGGAATTACAAGGAGAGGGAGTTGTAATCAGAAAGTGAGAGTTTAATTTCTGAAATTAAGTCCATCAAGAACTCGTGACTTCCAGAGGGACCCTGTGAATTAGAAGTCTAAAAGGAGTGAAGGTCTTTAAAGACCAAGAGGATGGGAAATTTTGAGACAAAGTTGTTGGATGTTCATCTGTATGAACACTGAAATATCTTAAGATTATAGTAGGAATTGGGGAAAGAAGATTGGACAAGATAAGGGGTAAAAAAAAAAAAGAGTGACAAGGATATCAGAAGGTAACAGCAACAAAGAACAGAAGATGACCTTAGCCTCAAAGACACATTGCCAAGGGTGAAAGAGAATGGTCTGAAAACAGGGTTTGACACTTAGGCCAAATGCTTGAAAGCCTAATTTGCGTTTCTTCTGCAGGTGTGTTTTTAAATACCTGGGAAGGCATTTGTTGAATCATGCAAATGAAATTATTTTTCAAATGCTGAACAGTTTTTCTGAGTCAGTCTCCTTTTATTTTGTTTATTTTGTTTGTAAGCAAAACAAAACAAAAAGACATGTTGGTCATGTATCTTAGTAACCAAGACATCCAGCATTTTAAATACTGAGAAAGAACTTTTCAGGTCATTTACTTTTGGGTCCAGACAGCTTTTAAATTTTTCCGTTTTCAAATGGTATTTAAATCTAGAGTTTAGGGCTGCAGGACCAAGAAGCTTTGTGGATTCAGTCTGTAAGGGAAATGGGTTCCTTTGAGCTGAGGCAGTTTCTCCTCTCTTTGGAGGAGGACCTTCTCAAAAACAAAACTCTCCACCGCTGTCAGTCACCAGGAGAACTAGGGTCGGTTGTGTGTTGGGAAGTTGCTTGAGACCAGTTCCTTTCCTGGGCACCTAGGTTTTTGTTTTCTGTTTTTGTTTGGGGGTGAGGGAGGTGGTGGTTATTTTTGGATGGCTACTGGAGGCAAGACTGAGGCCGAACCTTGCTAAGGTGGCCGCACAAAGGGGAAGACAAGAAGACAGCAGTGGTGTCATGATAAAGTCTGGTCTTTTGGATCTTAGCTCAAACTCAGAAGTGTTTTGTAGCAAGGCTGCCTGGTGTAAATCCAAGAATGGTGGCTACCTGGAGGAATGGGATAGGGTGTGTTCTTTTCAAAGGTATTCAAAAGTCAAAATTATTTTAGATCTGTGCTTGGTCTCACAAGACATATGGTGAATTAGGCCCAACTACTTCCATTTAGAGCCCTGCCTTAGACTCCTAAAGGCCCTCGAGCTCTGATCTTCCATGATTTGGTAGTACTTTAAAACTCAAACCAAAAGCTAAAAGAAAAAAAAAAAAAACAGAAAAGAAAGAGAAAGAAAAGTAGAACAAGCATCATACCAAGCTTTGCAGTGGAATCCTGCCTTTATTCTCTTCAGATGAACTGACCAGTGATGGTGTTGTTTTTTGGTTGTTGTTTGTTTGTTTGTTTGTTTGAGATGGCGTCTCACTCTGTCGCCCAGGCTGGAGTGCAATGGCACAATCTTGGCTCACTGCAGCCTCCGCCTCCCGGGTTCAAGTGATTCTCCTGCCTCAGCCTCCCGAGTAGCTGGGATTACAGGCTCATGCCACCACACCCGGCTAATTTTTTCTATTTTTAGTAGAGACAGGGTTTCGCTGTTTTAGCCAGGATGGTCTCGAACTCCTGATGTTGTAATCCACCTGCCTCAGCCTCCCAGAGTGCTGGGATTACGGGTGTGAGCCACCACGCCCAGCCTCGACCAGCAGTGTTTTTAACTGCTAGTTGTTTAAGCTATTATTTAGCAATATGTCCTGTTGTAATGACATCTAACAGAATAAAGGACTAAAGTGCTGCCCAGAGTGTCAGATGACATGGGGGCTTAAGCCTGGCCCTACTGCTAACTAGCTATGTGATTTTAGGGTAAATCAGTAAATTCTCTGGGCTTCAGTTGATATGTTAGATTCTCTGTCACAAGCTCAGAAATGTTTTGTTTTGTTTTGTTTTTGAGACAGTCTTACTCTGTCGCCCAGGCTGGAGTGCAGTGATGTGATCTCGGCTCACTGCAAACTCCGCCTCCCGGATTCAAGCGATTCTCCTGCCTCAGCCTCTCGAGTAGCTGGGATTACAGGCACATGCCACCACGCCTGGCTATTTTTTGTATTTTTAGTAGAGATAGGGGTTTCACCATGTTGGCCAGATGGGTCTCGAACTCCTGACCTCAAGTGATCCGCCCACCTCGGCCTCCTAAAGTACTGAGATTACGGGCGTGGGCCACCGCGCCCAGCCAGAAATGAATTTTAACTATCATAAGTAAAATATTTGTCAGAAAGATGTCAGGCATCCTAATGGAAGACTAGAGGACCAAACTTAGAGAACAGACGTATGAAAGGAAAATAAATCTCAGAATCATCACCAAATCATCACCCAAATCATCACCAAGCCAAAGGGAAAAGTCAAGCTGGGAAGTGCTTAGGGCAAACCTGCCCCTCATTCTATTCCCAAAAAGATAGCTACTAAGATTTTTAAAAGCTACATACCTCCCTCACTAGGAATTGTGGACAAAGGACAGACAGAACTCAAAGTCATCCCTCCTCTGCTCAATGAGATAAATGCAAACCTGATTGCCTTCTTTGGAAAGGCTAATCAGAAACCCAGAAGAATGCAACCATTTGTCTTGTATCTTCCTATTACCTGGAAGTCCTCTCCCCACTTCAAATTATCTCGCCTTTCTTGACAGAACCAGTGTACATTTTACATATATCGATTGATGTCTCATGTCTCCCTAAAATGTGTAAAACCAAGCTGTGCCCCGACCACACTGGGCACATGTTGTCAGGACCTCCTGAGGCTGTGTCACGGGCATACATTCTTAACTTTGGCAAAATAAACTTCCTAAACTGACTGAGACCTGTCTCAGATATTTGAGGTTCAAAGGAAAGAGCTAGGGTCATTCAGGGAAGACCAGGGAGCAGGAGCAGACTGTCCCATACCTCGACACTCCCCATGTATCCAAAGCAATAGGAATAATGGGGTATGGTCCCAGGGGAAAGTTTCCAGGGGGGATTCAGATTCCAAGGGGAGAATCTCCAGCTGGTCAGATGTAAGCCACATTCCAGCTTCCTACAAAACCCCTTGCAGTTCCAGAGTTGGAAGCCACCAAAACCACATTTGAATGGATTTCCCAAAAGGAGAGTAGGGTGATATTGAAAAAGATAAATCTATTGCTGAACAGCCAAAAACAACAAATGTCAAAGCAGATGTTCCCCATCTGTAAAAACTAGAAGGTTAATTGTATGACCAGTGGTAAAATTATTGATCCTAAATTATGTCTCTGTCAGACATTTCTAAGATGCACATGGTTAAAGCAAAAATGGAATTAGAAGATCTTATCAGTAAATGAACATTCAAAATGAGCAGAACAAGTAATTTTGGTTTTTTGTTTTGTTTTTGCCTTCGATTTATGATCTGTAGTGAAATGACCAGGGAGTTTTGTCCAGATTGGAATTTGTCTCTCAGTCTTAAACAAAAAGATCCTTTTTCTCCCCTTCAGTTTTAGGAAAGGGGAAAAACAGATAGCTGCATCCTAGTGTAGTTGTGCTGGGCATTGTGCAACAGAGTTTAAGTGGAAGATTAGCTGGAACTAAGTCTGATGGCTATTGTTACTGAGTAAGAACCAGAGTCCTAAGCTCTTCTCTGCTTTGGCCAGTAATTGGTCTACTCACGTGGCCCAGTCTCTGCTTGTCTGGTGATAAGGATAGAAATAATCCTGACACTTGCATTCAGAGGCATGTGTCTGGGAAATCAATGCCCTCAGAGAGAGGATTCCAGGTATGGCTGGGCATTCTAATATTCAGTGTTTGGTCATGCTGCGGGGGTAGGGGAGGAATGTCTACTTACAGAGAACAGTACGATATTTGGGTTTGGATTTTCTCCTGTTGTATTCTGAATTCCTTTAGGATTACAGAATCACATTTTCTTCACTACCTGGAGGTGTCCTTTTGACTTTTGCAGCCAGATTGCATACATCAAGGAATAATTACTTTTTCCTTCCTGTTTTAGGAGTTTGGCCAGATTTTTTCATTAGGCATTAGTATTGATAGCTGTGTAGTTCCTTGAACTCTGGTCTGATATTTGAAACTTTTTATTATGAAATTCCCTGTCTGTGGTGTGGTCACACCAAGTGAGAACATGAATTCCTTTCCACCTAGTGGGGTTGACAGAAGCTGTCCTAGCACCTTGAATCTGAAAATTAACTAAGCAGAGAAAGCTTATCAGGAGGGGAAAAATATTGGGAGAGTGGAATGTATTTGAAAGTTTTTGCTAGATGAGTATTCTTCAAGACGAAAGTATGAGTTCAGATTATGTGTGGTACTTGAATTTAACGTAAATACCAACCACTCACCTTGTGCAATAATATTGCATGCAGCCAATATTACACAATAATATGCCTGCTGATTTTGGCTTCAAGCAGAATTTTCAAACCAACTCCAGAGTTTGGCATTACAAACATTATAAACATGAAAATCTGTTTCCTTCATTTTAGTATAACATCTACTTTCTGCCACTTGATTTCTCATAGTAAATGAGCCATTTCTTCTTGTATGTGTGCATGTAGAACAGTGGAATTTCTATCCAACTGACGTTCAGCAATTAGGCCAGGTATGTTGTTGCTTTGTTTTGCTTTCTTGACCTTCCTGCTGGTCATGGATGATCATCCTGGCCACATTCCTCAAAGATTATTTCAACCTCAGAACAGTTAAGTATTTTCTTCCCTTAGTTGACCTTTTCCTCCACACTTTTTAAGAAGAAACTACCAGTTAACAAATGTTGTACTTTAGGAAGTGATTTTGATCAGAAGGGATTGTCACAGAGCACTTTCCCAAATATTTTTAAAGCCGAGTACTCTTTCCTCAATATTTTGAGACTGAGATGCCACCGTCATTCCCAGCAGATATTACAACTTGCTCTACTGTCCGGATTCATCTCTCAGACATGTTCTTTATCCTCCTCAGTATGGTCTTTCTGTTTATGGCCTTGTTGGGAAAGTGCTGGGGAAAATGAGAAGAGTTGGAATCCAAATGGATTTCAGTAGTTTTCTCTCACTCCTGTACTCTACTTTTTTTTTTTTTCGAAATGGAGTTTCACTCTGTTGCCCAGGCTGGAGTGCAGTGGCATGATCTCAGCTCACTGCAAACTCCACCTCCAGAGTTCAAGCAATTCTCTTGCCGCAGCCTCCCAGGTAGCTGGGATTATAAGCGTGTGCCACCACACCTGGCTAATTTTTATATTTTTAGTAGAGACGGAGTTTCACCATGATGGCCAGGCCGGTCTCGAACTCCTGGCCTCAAATGATCCACCCTCCTTGGCCTCCCAAAGTGCTGGTGTTACAGGTGTGAGCCAACACACCTGGCTGATTTTTGTATTTTTAGTAGAGATGGGGTTTCACCATGATGGCCAGGCTGGTCCTGAACTCCTGGCCTCAAGTGATCCACCCTCCTTGGCCTCCCAAAGTGCTGGGATTACAGGCATGAACCACCACACTCAGCCCCTGAACTCTACTTTTAAATTCCATTCTGTTGAAAAGGTGTATACGGAAGACATTGTATTTCGTCTACCATAAACTATATCATAAAGCGAAAACAACATGGTAGAGAATGATTCGGAACATAAGCTTTGAAGTCCAATCTTGGTTTGAATCCTTGCTCTGAGGCTTGCTAGGCTTACTAGCTGTATGATCTTAAGCAAGTAATTTATGATCTCTGAGCCCTCAGTCTTTTACTAGTACCTACTTCATAGAATTGTTAGGAAGGTTAAATAAAGTAGTGTAAAATGCACCCAGCATACAGTAGATATCTAGTTGGGTTAGCTATTATTAGCTCATTATATATACACATACACACACATATTTACATATATATACACACACATATATACACGTATATATATATTTCTTAACCAGGGCTGACTTTCCCCTTGTTGAGCAAGCAGTCTATGGCAAAGAGAAGCATAGATGTTTTTAAGTTATAAAGACTCTGGAGGACTTCACTGTCACGAGTGCTCTATTAGAAAGGTGATCCTGTCATATTTGTATCAAGCAGCTAATTATTCTCTTTAGATCAAGAAAATAGTATTCTCTTTATCTCATTTATTCCTTACTGTAGGGGTTCTTAAGTCCTTTGGGGTTATATTTAACTTAGGCATCTGTAATCACATACAAATGACTTCATAGAGTTTACTGCAGTTCTGTTTCTGTGCTAGACTCTACAGAACTAGTCAATTCAGAAACATGAAAAAGTTTTCACCTGCCTTTTTAAAGAACAGATTTTTTTTTTTTGAAACGGAGTTCCACTCCGTCGTCCAGACTGGAGTGCAGTGGCACAGTCTCAGCTCACTGCAACCTCCGCCTTCCAGGTACCAGCAATTCTCTTGCCTCAGCCTCCCTAGCAGCTGGGATTACAGGCGCCCGCCACCACGCCCGGCTAATTTTTTTGTGTTTTTAGTAGAGACGGGATTTTGCCATGTTGGCCAGGCTGGTCTCCAACTCCTGACCTCAGGTGATCCACCCGCCTTGGCCTCCCAAAGTGTTGGGATTACAGGCGTGAGCCACTGCACCCAGCAAGAACAGACTTTTAATTAGACAACTGACAACTCCATGTCAATTGAATTTTTAAGCAACTATTTCAGAAAGACATATTTACATAATAAATCTTTTATTATTCTGGCAAGATATACCAACCTTTTACCTTACACAAAAGTATATGCGATTAAATTTACATATAATTTTCTTCATATGCAAATAAAGCATTTAATTTTCAAGTGGAATTTTATCTCCCTAAACTGTGGTGGTGGTTATAAATTTTGTTTTATCACTTCCATGCTATGAATTTTTTTCCGTTATGATAAGAGATTTTTGTAATCAGCCACACACTTATTTCTGGTCCCCTTGTGACCAACAGAATGTCACTTTTTTGATAACTGAGGGGTCATAACCTGGGGCCACAGAATAAAGAGGATTGATTATACCATCCAGATTGTCTGCCACAAGTCTCTGGGAGCCTATATCGCACCTATTATAATAGTATTAAATAGTAGTCTCAGGCCGGGCACTGTGGATCACACCTGTAATCCCAGCATTTTGGGAGGCCAATTTAAGGCCAATTTTGGGCGGATCATTTAAGGTCAGGAGTTCCAGACAAGCCTGGGCAACATGGTGAAACCCCATCTCTACTAAAAATACAAAAATTAGCCAGGTATGGTGACGTATGCCTGTAGTCCCAGCTGCTTGAGAGGCTGAGGCATGATAATCGTTTGAGCCCAGGAGGCAGAGGTAGATCGCCCCACTGCACTCCAGCCTGGGTGACAAAGCGAGACTCAAAAAAAAAAAAAAAAAAAAAAAACAAATAGTAGTCTATTGGCCTACCTTGTGCATTTTGTTCCATCAGAAAAATTTATTGACATTTGTGTTTCAAATAGGAAAGCCTCATATGTGAATTTGTGATATTTATACTATATGTGAGTTTGGTTCCTGACCTTTCTTTTATAATCAGGAGTTTTCAGAGTCCAGGTGGCTTTGAACTAACCAACGGCCTTTGTTTAGCTCCTTAACCCTTACTTTGAGAAAGCCCTACATACATTTTAAATAACACATTTAGATATGCTTTAAAGCAAGAATGTACTTAGATATGCTTTAAAGCATAAGCAACAAATATATCTATAAAAAAAACAGTATTACTGAACTCCAAAAACCAGGAAGTTCTTAAAATAGTGTTTGTCAAAGAGAAACTACCTATCTTACAAAAGGAATGACTGAAGTATGTTCAATTGTTTTAAACTGTTCAACAAATACACACACTTCTTTTGTAGATGTAGCGAACTCCTTTGTTTACTGGAACCTACAGTGTCCAAAGCTGTTACTTTGCCTGGTGAATAGGTAGAGTATTTAACCTTTATTTTTAAAATATTTTCATTTAGTAAAGCAACAGTTGCTGTGTTGGCAAAAGTGTGAATTTCATTTCCTGTCTGTGGTGTAGCCCACTCATCCTGTCACTCAGACATTTTGTTTTAGGTTGTTCCCGTAATGTGAGTGGAACAGAGTGACCCCCAGTAGGGTGGCATGTGAACATCACGGATGTAACAACAGACAAGGCTTGTGCAACAGACCACAAGAGAGCAATGCTTTATTTAAAGATGAAAACAAAACAAAATCAAGACACCCCCACACCCAGCCAGCATGCAAATTTTTAAAGTGACATTTGTTTATTCTTTTGTTTTTAGAAGACATGTTTCAGTCTATTTGGCAGGTTACCTCAAAGGTTTTATTAGCTTCATGGACTTTATTAAAGGATAAAATTGAATCAGTGTCTGATAACATTATAGAGGTGATTTAATTTCATTTGCTAATCTATCATCAAACATTTTAAAGTCCATTAATCTGCCACATATATTGAGTTCTATAATGATTATTTTTACATGTGAGACTTGTCCTAAATTACAGTTTCTGCTACAGTGACAGGACAGATATACAGTGTGGAAAAAACCTGGGATAAATTCATTCATCCATCACCTATTGTTCAAGCAGCTAATATGTGCCTTACACTGTTTCCAGTGCTGCAGCTACAGTGATGCGCAAAATTAAGTCCTTGCTCTCATGGAGCTTATATTCTACTATAGGAAGGTAACCACAAGTATGCACGTGAATAAATATAATTTTAGTTTATGATAAATATTCTGAAGGAAACAAAACAGAACAACAGGATAAAGTATGATTGGAATTGGGGGAAGGAGCAGTGATATTGGAGCTGAGACTTACATAGTAACAGGCCACAAGAAAAGTATTCCAAGTAGAGAACAGAGAGCACGAAGGCCCTGAAACATCGAAGAAACAGAAAGAAGAATCACAGATCATGGTAAACAAAAGGGGAGATGATGTAAGATCAGAGGAGTAGTCCTGTAGTATGTTACAGGGCCTTGAAGACCAAGCTGAAGACTGGCTTTTTTATTTATAAGTACAAAAGGAAGCCTTTGGAGGGTTTTAAGCAGGGAAGTGACACTGTATGATCTATATGATTTTTAAGTCACTCTGGTTGCTGTTTGGTGAGTAGATGATGGAGGGCAGAAGTGGTTGCAGATAGACCTGTTAAGAAGTTTTTTTGTTTTTGTTTTTTGTTTTCATACAGTGCCTGGGGTTTGTTTCACTTCAGGGGCAAGGTAAATGGGTGAGGATGTAGAAGAAACAAAATTTGCCACAAATTAAAGCTTGAATGTGATGGGAACACGGGCCTTATTATAGTATTCCCTCTACTTTTGTGTATGTTTGACATTTTCTGTAGTAAAAGGCTTTTTTAAGAAAAACTTTTTAAATAGTGGTCCAAGTAAGGAATGATGGTGCCATGGACCAGTGTGATAGTGGTGATAGGAATAAGTGGGCAGGTTCAAGATATATTTGAAAGTAAAGCTGGCCGGGTGCGGTGGCTCACGCCCGTAATCCCAGCACTTTGAGAGGCCGAGACAGGTGGATCACGAGGTCAGGAGATGGAGACCATCCTGGCTAACATGGTGAAACCCCGTCTCTACTAAAAATACAAAAAAATTAGCCAGGTGTGGTGGCGGGCGCCTATGGTCCCAGATACTCGGGAGGCTGAGGCAGGAGAATGGCATGAACGCAGGAGGCGGAACTTGCAGTGAGCCAAGATCGCACCACCGCACTCTAGCCTGGGTGACTGAGTGAGACTCCGTCTCAAAAAAAAAAAAAAAAAAGTAAAGCTCACAGGACTTGCTAAGGGATTAGATATATATTATAGGAAGGAAAGACACTAAGGATGACTATTAGGTGTTTTGCCTAAACAACTGGGAGAATGAGGCTGGAGAACGAGGCCAGAGATTGACTTGAGGGTAGGGGAACTCAAGAATTTAGTTTTGGCAACGTGAATTTAACATGCCAATTAAGATTTCCAAGTGGAAATATTGAGTAGACAATGTCATTTACAATCCGCTAGCTAACCTTCAATAGCAGTGCTATACTCAAAAGCAATTTAGAATCCTCTATTAAGTATTTCTAAACTTGGCCTTCGTGAGTTAAGTTCTATCCTTTCAGATTCTGTGAGAAACTTGATGGATAACTTGAAAGGCTTATTTAGTTTATTGATATGAAATAACTTAGATTTATTTTCTGGTTATATATGGGTATCCACTAGTTTTTTTTTGCTTTTTTTTTTTTTTTTGAGAGACAGAGTCTTGCTCTGTCACCCCAGCTGGAGTACAGTGGCGCCATCATAACTCACTATAATCTCGAACTCCTAGGCTCAAGCGATCCTCCCACCTCACCCTCCTGAATAGCTAGGACTACAGGCATGTGATACCACTCCCAGCTAATTTTTAAAATATTTTTTTGGAGATGGAGTCTCACTGTGTTGCCTAGTCTAGTCTCGTCTCGAACTCCAAGCCTCAACCAGTCCTCTTAGCTTGGCCTCCCAAAGCACTGGGATTACAGGCATGAACCACTGTGACTAGACCAGTAATTTTATTTTGAATAGCCGCTATCCTCAGCAGTAATTCTGCACCTTTATTATCGTCTTGTGAATGACAAACTCCAGTGGGTTAAACACACTTCCTGCCCACTACTTCTTTTCACTGAGTATGGGGATGCAAGTTGGCCGTAGTAAAATTTTGAGGTAATACTTTACTGTGGTGTATATTTTAAACATAAATCTTTTTTGCAAACTTTGGACCTATTATTAGTAGCTAAATATTGTAACATACTTCACATCTGATTAGGACAGTATTGAAACATCATTACTGATAACCTTCTACTAATCTACTTATAACTAATATTTATTAAGGGCTTTTTACTGTATACTAGGCACCACTTTAAGACGCTGTGTTCTCATTGGCTCTTCACAACAACTTCATTTTATTATCCCTGTTTTACAGATAAGGAAATTTAGGCCTACTCTGGTAGGAGGAAGTAAAGCTAGGATTCAAACTCAGACATTCTGGTTTCAGAGCCTCCGCTCTTAACTGCCGCCATGTAATGTATATAGAATATCGTAAGTTTTGGCTGGGCTCAGTGGCTCACACCTGTAGTCCTAGCACTTTGGGAGGCCAAGGTGGGTGGATCACATGAGGTCAGGAGTTCAAAACCAGCCTGACCAACATGGTAAAACCCCGTCTCTATTAAAAATACAAAAATTAGCTGGTCATGGTGGCTCACTCCTGTAATCCCAGCTACTCAGGAGGCTGAGGCAAGAGAATTACTTGAACCTAGGAGGTGGAGGTTGTTGCAGTGAGCCAAGATCGCACCACTGCACTCCAGCCTGGCAACAGAGTGAGACTCCCATCTCAAAAAGAAAAAAAAGAAGAATATTGTAAGTTTTGTTTCAGAAAACTTATCTAGAGGACGGGCACAGTGGCTCACGCCTGTATTCCCAACACTTTGGGAGGCCGAGGTGGGCGGATCATTTGAGGTCAGGAGTTTGAGACCAGCTTGACCTATGTAGTGAAACCCTGTCTACTAATATACAAAAATTAGCCAGGCATGGTGGTGGGCGCCGGTAATCCCAGCCTACTCAGGAGGCTGAGGCAGGAGAATCGCTTGAACCCAAGAGGCAGAGGTTGCAGTGAGCCAACATTGCGCCACTGCACTCCAGCCTGGGCAACAGAGCAAGACTCCCTTTCACAAAAGAAAAAGAAAGAAAACTTGTCTAGAGTAGGCAGGAGTGTATGCGTGAGTAACCACAGCCTCTCTTGATTATGTTTTTACTTCGTTCCATGAAGTTGGAACTTTGGAATAGCGAAGAGAGAATCCTAAAGTGGTTATCCATCCTATCCTTTGATTTCCTTTCCTAAATAATTTATTTTCTTTTGACTTTTTCCTTGTAGCATCAGCGAGAGCTTTCTAACTGTCAAAGGTGCTGCCCTTTTTCTACCACGGGGAAATGGCTCATCCACACCAAGAATCAGCCACAGACGGAACAAACATGCAGGTAACGCTGGCATATATACTATTTCTTTCTTGGTAACTATATCTTGTGTTACATTCTAAAAGGCTGATTACCTCATCCCCATCTCTTCAGAAGTTCTTTAAATGGTGAAAGAAAGTGTTGTACTGTGCTGTAATCACTTTTCTTTTACCCTCAGAGACCATTTTTTTAGCACTTAGCAAAAAGTCTTTTACACTTAGTAGATGTTCAATACATTTTTGTTAGAATAATTATAAGAAGGTACCAAAATACTCTAATGAAGCTATATGAAACTTCTCAGTTAAGATTGAGATTTTTTTGTTTCGTTTTGTTTTTTTGAGACGGAGTCTCGCCTTGTCACCCAGGGTGGAGTGCTGTAGCTTGATCCCAGATCACTGCAACCTCCACCTCCTGGGGGCGATTCTTCTCCCTCAGCCTCCTGAGCAGCTGGGACTACAAGCGCCCACCACCACACCCACCTGATTTTTGTATTTTTAGTAGAAACATGGTTTCACCATGTTGGCCAGGCTGGCCTCGAACTCCTGACCTCAGGTGATCCGCCTGCCTCAGCCTCCCAAAGTGCTGGGATTACAGACTTGAGCCACCGTGCCCGGCCAAGGTTTTTTTTTTTTTTTTTTTTTTCCCCGAGACGCTCACTCTGTCGCCGAGGCTGGAGTGGAATGGTGTAATCTCAGCTCACTGCAACCTCCGCCTCCCGGGTTCAAGCAATTCTCCTGCCTCAGCCTCCCAAGTAGCTGGAACTACAGGCATGCACCACCACGCTCAGCTAATTTTTGCATTTTTAGTAGAGATGGGGTTTCACCATGTTGGCTAGGCTGTTGTCGAACTCCTGGCCTCAGGTGATCTGCCCGCCTCGGTTATCCAAAGTGCTAGGATTATAGGCGTGAGCCCTCGCGCCTGGCCCTCAGTTAAGGTTTTGAGTGTTCAGGTTAAAAATGTTCAGGTGGGCCAGGCACATTGGCTCACAGCTGTAATCCCAGCATTTTGGGAGGCTGAAGTAAGAGGATTGCCTGAGTCGAGGACTTTGAGACTGGCCTGGGCAAGATGGTGAAATCCCATCTCTACAAAAATTAAAATTAAAAAAAAATTAAATTAGCCAAGTGTGGCCGGGCACAGTGGCTCACACCTATAATCCCAGCATTTAGGCAGGCTGAGGCAGGTGGATCACCTGAGGTCAGAAGTTCGAGACCAGCCTGGCCAACATGGTGAGACCCTGTCTCTACTAAAATACAAAAATTAGCTTGGCCTGGTGGCACATTCCTGTAATCTCAGCTGTTCTGGAGGCTGAGGCAGAAGAATCACTTGAACCTGGGAAGCGAAGGTTACAGTGAGCCGAGATCATGCCAGCCTGGGCAACAGAGCAAGATTTGACTTCAAAAAAAGAAAATTAGTGAATTGTGGTGGTGTACACCTATGGTCCCAGCTACCTGGGAGGCTGAGGTGGGAGGGTCACTTGAGCCTGGGAGGTTGAGACTGCAGTGAGCCATCTTTGCACCACTGCATTCCAGCCTTGGTGACAGAGTCGGACCCTGTCTCAAAAAAAAAAAAAAAAAAGAGCCAGGCACAGCTCGTGCCTATGATCCCAGTACCTTGGGAGGCCAAGGCGGGTGGATCACCTGAGGTCAGGAGTTTGAAACCAGCCTGGCTAACATGGCTAAACCCCATCTCTACAAAAAATACAAAAATTAGGCCTGGCACGGTGGCTCACGCCTGTAATCCCAGCACTTTGGGAGGCCGAGACGGGCAGATCACAAGGATATCAAGACCATCCTGGTGAAACCCTGTCTCTACTAAAAATACAAAAAAAATTAGCCGGGTGTGGTGGTGGGTGCCTGTAGTCCCAGCTACTCAGGAGACTGAGGCAGGAGAATGGTGTGAACCCGGGAGGTGGAGCTTGCAGTGAGCCGAAATCGCACCACTGCACTCCAGCCTGGGTGACAGAGTAAGACTCCATCTCAAAAAAAAAAAAAAGAAAAGGAAAAGAGAAATACAAAGATTAGCGGGCATGGTGGCACGCACCTATAGTCCTAGCTACTCAGGAGGCTGAGGCAGGAGAATTGCTGGAACCTGGGAGACGGAGGTTGCAGTGAGCTGAGATCATGCCACTGTCCTCCAGCCTGGGCGACAGAATGAGACCCCGTCTCAAAAAAAAAAAAAAAGTTTAGCTGTTCCCTTGAATCTTATTCAGAGTTACTTCAACTAATCAAAGATTCAATTTCTGATTTCTTTCTGCTCTCTAGTGATGGTATGAGGAGGAGAATGATACAGAATATACTAAGATAAACTTTTTGCTGTGACAATGAGTTATTACGTCACATATTAAAGTGCCAGTGTCTACTACTTGAATGTATACACTAAAAAGACTGGAAATTTAACCCAGAGGACTTCTATAAACAAAGAGTCATCAAATAAACAAAGAATGAGTATAAGCTCTGGTTTTGAAATATCAACTAACAGTAGTATATGCATTGTATTATTTTATATTGGATTTCTCTAAAATCAGGAACACCTGTGGTGATGACGTTTAAAAAGAACTGTAGAAAATGTGTCCTAGGGAGAGATATCTCCAGGTGTAGAATATCCACAGTTTAAGAAGATAACCTGATGCTTCTCTTCTACCGGCAGACCTTATTTATCATTTTGGGGAAAAAAAATAAAAGCTTGAGGACACTAATCCTGATCAATAGTATACAAAGAGGCAGATTGCTTGTTGTCATAAATGTGACACTTTGACTACTTGTGACCTCCAGGAGTGGGAAAAAAAATTGTAATTACTAAGAAAGGAACAAAGACTGCAATAAGCTTAAGTGTTTAGGTCAGAGGTGAAAGCCAAAAATATTGGATCCCATTGAGCCAGTAATTGAGCATAGCTTTAGTGAGATAATCTCTGCTATTTTAGTGGCTGCCCTGCTACTTGTCTGGGCCTTCACCTAGTTGCAATTGTGGCAGCTCAGAATTGTAATCCATTTTGTTTGGACAATATTTTCCTCCTACCAGAACTCTCCAGCCATGGAAAATTTTTTAGAGTAAGGGAGGAAATAACCTCTTTTGGAAATTAGCTTGGATTGCACTTTCTAAAACCTTCCTCCCCAGTGTCCAGTACTGGAGGTCAGGTAGGGGAGGACGCTTCCCCAAAACACTTGAATGTGCGGAAGAAGTATGCCCACTAAGCTTTTTATTTCTTTTTAGTGTGGATATTTATCCCTTACAGTAAAAAGAAGACAAATTATTGGTTTAAATCCAGTTTGACTAGGATGTTGGGCAAATTACTCTATGGCATGTAGTAGTTAATGGGGTCAATGGCTTTTAAAGCTCCTGGCACTGGTTGGCATTTTTCTTTGGTCAAACTTCTACACTCAGCTGCCACCCAGGTTTCTACTTGACATCGTTCGCTTAGCTTTCCTCATACTAAAAAGAAAAGCAGATTTAACACAAGCTGAATGGACTTGATTTGTGATCCAGACCGGAACAGATGAGGCAGTGCGAGTATAAACTTGGCTTACAAGAGCCAGGCTGTCACATAAAGTGAAGCTGTCTTGGCCAAGCCCACAGTAACTGCAAGTTGATGGCAGAATTGAGAGCAGGTCAAGGGCTTACCGTGTCTAGTTGTATTTCCTTATGCATGTTTCTTGAACTAGTTAGAATTTTTTAACTGGCCTGCATTTGAAATATCCAAATAGTATTTTGCAAAGAAGGCTATTACAGGCGAATGTCTGCCAGTATTTTAAATGGAAACAATGAAAAGTCTATAAAATCCAATAGAAAATTGAAATTTAGCTCCTAGCAGTGAGGTATATGGTGGGAAAATGTAGGGAAGGTTATCTTAATGCTATGTCAATATATTGCCTTATATTAGACTCTGTGAAGAACAGTTGCCCAGTAGGAAATGATATGCAGTTTGCTCAGAGCAGTACTTTTCGCAGCTAACAAACCTGAGCTTCCAATTCACATAAGAAGGCTTACTTGAGTAGGCCTCCTGACTTTTTTTGTCTGAGCTTCAGAAAAGCCAGCTGAATCTTTGGGCCAGTAGTGTTCGGAGTGGGGACTTTGGGCTGCTATTTAGGGTTCTCCTCCAGAAGTTCTCCACCCTAAAAATCCTTTCCTCTGGTTATTTCTACTGGTAGGACAGAAGGAAACTTAGTTTCAAAGAAGCTCCGGCCTGGTGCAGTGGTCTGTGCCTGTAATCCCAGCACTTTGGGAGGCCCAGATGGGCAGATTGCTTGAGCTTAGGAGTTCGGGACCAGCCTGGGCACCATGGTGAAACCTCATCTCTACAAAAAATACAAAAAATTAGCCAGGCGTTGTGGTGCACACCTGTAGTCCTGGCTACCCTGGAGGCTGAGGTGGGAGGATTGCTTGAGCCCAGGAAGTCACAGCTGTAGGGAGCCGTGATGGCGTCACTGTACTCCATTCTGGGTGGCAGAGTAAGACCCTGTCTCGAGAAAAAATAAAATAAAAAATATCCTCAGCTGCTTAATGCAGTTGCAACTTGTAACTCAGGTAGCTTTTCATTGTTTATACCTAACACTTTATCTCCTCATACTTGTCCTTTTATTTTTTGTTTAACAGCTTTATTGAGATACAATCCACATACCATGTAATTCACCCAGTTTACTCATTTAAAGTGTACATTCATTGGTTTTTAGAAGAGTCACAGAGTTGTACAGCCATCACCACAATCTAATTTTAGAACATTTTTATCGCCCTGAAAATAAACCCGATACCCATTAGCAGTCACTCCCTATTTCTCTCACCCTCTCTCCCAGCCCTAAGCAACCACGAATCTACTTTCTGTCTCTGTAGATTTGCCTATTCTGGGTGTTCTGTAAATGGATTCATATAAATGGATTTTTGAGACAGGCTTCTTTTTCTTAGCGTGTTTTCAAAGGTCATCTATGGTATAGTATGTATCAGTACATCATTCCTTTTCATGACCAAATAATACTACATTTTGTGGATAATACCACATTTTATTTATCCATTCATCATTTGATAGACATTTGAGTTGTTTCCACTGTTTTGCTATTATGAATAATGCTGTATATACATGCGTGTACAACTTTTTGGGTGGACATATGTTTTCTTTTCTCTTGGGTTTATGCATATGAGACTTAAGATTGTGTCCCTGGTCTTGAAAGGTAGTAGAATGGATCTGGCCAAACATAATGACTCTCCATTTTAATTTTGAAAATTGAAAGATTCTGCAATATGGAATTAATTGGTCAGAAGCCAGCAGTGAAAACCATCCTTTTTGATTTGGGGTGGGGGGGGTGGGTGTTTGGTTTTTTGTTTATTTATTTATATTTAAATGTGAGGTCTTACTCTGTCACCCAGGCTGGAGTGCAGTGGCATAATCATAGCTCACTAGCCTCAAGCAGTCCCCCGCCTCAGCCTCCCAAAGTGGTGAGAGTAAGTAAACTATTCTGTTTAAGAAGAAAGGAAAGAGTTTCAGACTTGCTGTCATTTGTATAAACGCACCAACCCATTTGCCAACCTACTTTTTTCTTCCTGCCTCTATCCACTTCTTGTACATAACAGTATTTCATCTCATAATTAACAACTATTAGTTAACTGAAGGAAAATTATGTATTTAGATTTCAAGACCAATGTGAGAACAAGTTATAGTGGCATTCATGGTTATGTGACTGTATCAGTCACCTTAGACTTTAATAAGGGCAATATCTGAGTGGGCAAGAGTGAGGTTTTTTTGTTCACAGATTTTCATAATTTATGATAGTACATTATTTATCTCCTGCTATCTAAAGCCTCGGATTTCCTAGGAATATGAGGAAATCTATAATAGTTAAAACAAAGAAATTTCAACTTAGTTTGACAAAATGTGTAAGAACAAGTGAGGATTCAAATAATGGTTGGCCATTTTAAAGAACCTAATAATATGTTCAGGAGAATGTATATCCCTTATGTGGCATACTTAATATATAATCTCATTGGCCGGGCACAGTGGCTCACACCTGTAATCCCAGCACTTTGGGAGGCCAAGGCAGGCGGATCACGAGGTCAGGAGATCAAGACCATCCTGGCTAACATGGTGAAACCCCGTCTCTAAAATGCTAAAATACAAAAAATTAGCCGGGCATGGTGGCAGGCACCTGTAGTCCCAGCTACTTGGGAGGCTGAGGCAGGAGAATGGCGTGAACCCAGGAGGCGGAGCTTGTGGTGAGCCGAGATCGCACCACTGCACTCCAGCCTGGGCGACAGAGCGAGATTCCGTCTCAAGAAAACCAAAAAATACATATGTACACACACACACACATATGTATATACATATGTATACATATATACACATAAAAATATATATACACATATATGTGTGTGTGTGTGTATATACTCTCATTATAGTATCAGTCACTACACTCCAGCCTGGGTGACAGAGCGAGACTCTGTCTCAAAAAAAAATTAAGATAAATAATAATTTCAGTCACTAATATGAAAGTCATTTTAAACTATTGACCTTATTCTAGGGAGAATCCAAAAGTCTTCTTAGGTCAAATGCAACCAAAGCATATGATTATAGAAATAGGAATGACAAAATGGTTAGCTTTTTAAAAGTTATGGATAATTCCTCTAACACTACACTACTACACCCATTTTCAAAATGCCCTCATTGCTACTTTCAGTGAGCCTGAAAATACAGCCAGTGAGTGCTGCCTCTGCCTAACAGATCTCAACAACAAGTCTCTCATCAACATCCACCATAATACAAAACTGAGACTGGTCTCAAGTGTACCTTTCACAGGACAGACCTAAGTTTTAATATAGTATAGACTAAAAGCAAATGTATTAAGATGCAGTCTAGCAGTCTCTCTTTCCATTTTAAAAGAAGTCAATAATCATTTAATTTTCTATGTCTAATCAGAGTCCTTTAATGAATCAGAACTTTCTTTTACAAAAGTCACTGAGGTAGAAGGAATCCTCTCTGTCAACGTTAGAATGGAGAATAATTATCCTTTGGTTTGTAAATTTCACCAGGCGATCTCCAACAGCATCTCCAAGCAATGTTCATATTACTCCGCCCAGAAGACAACATCAGGCTGGTAAGTTAGTGGTGTCATCATAATTTTCTTCCTCAAAAGACTATCTAAGATAGCCAGCCAACATCAAACAGTCATTTTTACATCCCAACACAGTGCTGGGAACTATGTGAAGTAAGAGAGAAGATAATGTGGAATGTTGTGAAATAATTTGATGGTTTAAGACTGTTGATAAGCACCAGTTTGTAAGTTATTAACTATAATAACAATTGAAGTTCAGAAAATCAAGAAAAAACTTGGGGATTTGACCTAGATGAGGAAGGTTTATGTAGTCAGCGGAGCTTGAGGTGACTCTTGAAAGATGATGAGATTTGGATTGGTAGAAAGAAATTATTCTAGATAAGGACTTAACAAGCAAAAACACACATAGAGAAGGACAAGGAAGGAGTGAAATGGCCAAAGATTGATGCTGGCTTCAGACTCAGGAGACTTGAACTTAGGTGCTAAGTCATATGATACTGGACAAGTTACTTTACCCTGTCTATGCTCATTTCCTCATCTCCTGACTACCTATTCTGTTGAGAGGGTCAACTGGACATGAAAACATACTGAATAGTGCAAAATGCTGTCTAAGTATGGGGATTATTATTGGGAAGATAGAGACTAGAAAACAAGGCAGGCAAATATGGATTTAGTGCTGTAAACTGGAGGTCTCAAACTGGCAGTGTATAGGCCAGAGATATGTTTTGTTTGGATCACAGCGTTTTTTTAAAAAAATGTAAGCCAGAATTTTAAAGTTAGGTGAGGTCTAGCATGGGTTCTTAATTTACCATAATCCTCTTTTTGAGACAGAGTCTCGCTCTGTCACCCAGGCTGGAGTGCCATGGCATAATCTCGGCTCACTGCAACCTCCACCTCCCAGGTTCGATCAATTCTCCTGCCTCAGCCTCCCAAGCAGCTGGGATTATAGGCATGCGCCACCACGCTCAGCTAATTTTTGTATTTTTAGTAGAGACGGGGTTTCACCTAATTGGGCAGGCTGGTCTCAAACTCCTGACCTTGTGATCCACCCGCCTCAGCCTCACAAAGTGCTGGGATTACAGGCATGAGCCACAGTGCCCAGCCCCTATTGTCTTCTTAAGTCAACTGTCACCATTTGTCATCATTCCTGCACTGTTGTAAAAACTAGGAAATTGTAAAAACACCTCCAATAAAACTAGGAAAACAAAACCGAGATGAGCATATTTCTTTGTGGAAATTGGAAAGTATTTCTACCCATTCAATATTCACGTGGCTTACTTTCCTTATTTACGTTTCCCATCTGAGCCTCTTAGGAGTGTCCAATCATTTGACTTCCCTGGACCACATTGGAAAAAGAAGAACTGTCTTGGGCCACACATAAAATACACTAACACTAACGATAGCTGATGAACTTAAAAAAAAAAAAAATCAGGAATATCTCATAATGTTTTCAGAAAGTTTATGAATTTGTGCTGGGCCACATTCAAAGCCATCTTGGGCCACATGTGACCCATAGGCCATGGGTTGCACAAGCTTGCTGCTTGCTCTAGATTACTAACTAAAGGTAGTACCTCTCCCTTTTCAAAATAAGCAGTTGTGAAACATCACAGGTTTTTCAGCCAAAGAATGCCATGGGACAGCTATAGTAGTTAGGGAAGATTCCTCAGAAGCTAATGCAGAGTAGAGAGGAGGAAAAGATCATTTTAAATCAGGGAGGCCTGCTAAGGTAGTTATTGCAGTAATCTAGGCATGTGGTAATGAGTCCTTTGATTAGAATATATAAAAATTTAAAGGAATCCTTTCATAGTTGTTTTATATCTTATTTTTAATTTTTTAAATGTTTTATATCCTAACCAAAAGTAACATTATACATTTATATAAATCTTGTCTGTATTTCTTGATATATTTCTTTCTTAAATAATTATTTAAGGCCAGGCGCAGGGGCTCACGCCTGTAATACCAACACTTTGGGAGACTGAGGTGGGCAGATCATTTGAGGTCAAGAGTTCGAGATCAGCCTAGCCAACATGGTAAAACCATGTCTCTACTAAAAATACAAAAATGAGCCAGGCGTGGTGGCACACACCTGTAGCTACCCAGGAGGCTGAGGCAGGAGAATCACTTGAACCCGGGAGGCGGTGGTTGCAGTGAGCCAAGATTGCGCCATTACACTCCAACCTGGATGACAGAATGAGATTCCGTCTCAAAAAATAATCATAATGTTGTTATTGTTATTTAAAAGGGAACAGGGGGATGCAATTCTTACAGTATTGATAATCTGGAGTGACTGGGGTGTGGTGGTTCATGTCTGTAATCACAGCACTTTGGGAGGCCGAGGCAGGAGTTCAAGACCAGCCTAGGCAACATGGCAAAACCCTGTCTCTACAAAAAGTAAAAAATTAGCTGGGCATAGTGGCATGCCAGCTACTCGGGAGGCTGAGGTGGGAGTATTGCTTGAGCCTGGCAGGTCAAGGCTGCAGTGAGCCATGATCACGCCACTGCCCTCAACCTGGGCAACAGTGCAAGACCGTGTCTCTAATAATAATAATCATCATCATCTGAAGCAATGATTCTCAAACTTTAAAATATATCAAAATCACCTGGAGAGGTTTGTTAAATCACTAATTACTGGACTGCACATGCAGAGTTTGATTAGTAAAGGGGAAGCAGAGATAATTTGTATTTTTAAGCCAGTTTTGAAATACTGCTGATGCTGCTGATCCAGGAGTCACGCTTGGAGTACACCTCTTTGAAAACCCATAACAACAATCATTTGCACATATGCACATACTGGATGCCCAATAAATATTTGCTGATAGCTTTCAAAATTTGTGTGTTTTGGTAAAGCTAAAGCTTTAAAGAGATGTAACATCACTTTATCATTTTCTCATTGATAACCTTCTGGAATTTGGTGTGAACCTCTAAATATTAAAATAATTTTAACTACATAGAGACTTGGAAGAACATGAAGGAAGCAGTTATGAAGGCAGAGCTGGCAGTTCTTTTCTTACTAAAATATGCATCTTCAGTTGCTTTACATTTATAAAATAAATTCAGAAAATGTAACTTACGCCTCTGAATTCAAAGTTCACATGACAAGTCATTTTACAGTTGTTTTGAATTGTTACAAACACATAGTCATTATGTTTCAGATTATTGAGTGAGTCATCTTCAAGAAAATAAGTCAATGCATTGTATGACTTTGGACAAATTAGCACTTCTCTAACTGAAAGGAGCATTTGTAGACTCAAAGCAAAGGCTTTTGTTTTGAGTTAAATTTGGAATGCTGAAACTCTTAAGATTTGTGCAGAAGGTTAAAAGTTTGATAGTCAACTGAAAGTCTTGCCTTTTTTTTTTTTTGAGACGGAGTCTATCTCTGTCGCCCAGGCTGGAGTGCAGTGGCTCAATCGTGGCTCTTTGCAACCTCTGCCTCCTGGGTTCAAGTGATTCTCCTGTCTCAGCCCCCCGAGTAGCTGGGATTACAGACATGCGCCACCATACCCGGCTAATTTTTTGTATTTTTAGTAGAGACGGGTTTTCACCATGTTGGCCAGGCTGGTCTTAAACTCCTGACCTCAGGTGATCTCCCCATCTGGCCTCCCAAAGTGCTGGGATTACAGGCATGAGCCACCGCGCCCACTAAAAGTCTTGCCTTTATTTTTTAAATAACCCAACCAAACCACACATTTTGCTTTAGCATTGAAAATAAGATGAAGCCAATCTTTTCCTCCAGGGAAGCTCTGTGTTCCAAATACAGGCATCAAGCATTAACTTTAGTACTTAGGAAAACTGTAGCTAGTAAAATAAAGGAAGTGGTTTTATAGTACTCTTGCACATTACCAAAGATCAACCATTTAATTAAAACAATAATCTGAGAAATTAAGAATTCTCAGGACATTTGAAGTAACTTCAATTGATGTTCTTAACTAAAGCTGAAGTGCTGATAAGGTACAAAGACGTCTTTTTTGAGTACTTTGCAGGAGAATTTAAGAAAATGAGGAGTTCTGTTATTTTGGTTTTCATCATATGTTGCTTCTAAAATGGAAATTGGTTTATTTTTTCTAGCTATAAATATATTATGTGGGGTTTTTTTATCCCAGTCAAACAATGCAAAAAGGTATAAATAAAGTAAAAATCACTCTGTATTCTACATTCTGAGAAAATTATTGTTAGCAGTTTGGATAAGCATCCTTCCACTCTTTTAAAAATATGTATATATGAGAGAGAGAGAGTGTGTAAAGAGTGAGAGGAAGAGCATTGTTTTGTTTCTACAAAAATGTGACAAAAATAGAAATACCTTTTTGTAACCTACTTTCTTCATAGTTTATCATGGATGTCTTTCCATGTCAATAAATAAATCATGGTTTTTAATGGCTACACGGAATACAATTCATATTTAAGAATTTCATAGAGACAGACTGATTTTAAAAAAATATTCAGAGACTTCCTCAAGTTCTAATCTTTTTCTTTTGAAGACAGTGTTCTTTAGTCTACTAGTGTCACAAGTGAAGCCTGTTTTAATTTTGGCTATTGATTTTGCTTCATTCTTTTGATTAGCGTTTAATATTTACATACTTTTGGAACCTTTCTCTCTGATGGATTGGATGAACTGCCTGTCTTAGACATTGGGTCTTTATAATGTAGTTTACTGGGGGTAATTAATTTCTTTTCACAAAGAGTCTTACATCATGCATGCAGGGGCATGCATGTAAGACTCTTGGTATAGAGAAATTCTTTTTTTTGTTTGTTTGTTTGTTTATTTTTTTTGAGACAGAGTTTCGTTCTTTTGCCCAGGCTGGAGTGCAATGGTGCAATCTCGGCTTACCACAACCTCCGCCTCCCAGGTTCAAGCGATTCTCCTGCCTCAGCCTCCTGAGTAGCTGGGATTACAGGCATGCGCCACCACGCCCAGCTAATTTTTTGTATTTTTAGTAGGGATGGGGTTTCTCCATATTGGTCAGGCTGGTCTCAAACTCCCAACCTCAGGTGATCTGCCTTCCTCAGCTTCCCAAAGTGCTGGGATTATAAGCATGAACCCCTGT